GCACAAAGCAGTAATTTGTATCTAGTATGATGCGAAATTCACTAGTATGTAAAATTTGTTGCAACACAATTCAATTCGAAGGCTCTCGCCGTGCTTTCAAATGTTTAACGAAAAACACTGTATCAGCGTGTATCTGCCTGCCCTATCAGGTTGCCTTCATTGCCCTTATTGATTTGCTACTATTTCTGGCGAATGCTCAAAAAGAGGCTAAGTTTGTTGCAAGCCGTTTCCATTCAAAGGCTCTTTTTCCAATGTGGACTCAAGCACAACACATAACATGTGGCTGTGGCACTCGGAGCACCTATGTCACGCTCGGTGTTTGATTTTTCTTGATGCGGCGCGCACATCGGCAGTAAGTGAGAATGCCTATGGCAAGGAATTGCCCAAAACCTGGGGTAGCTTGGGAGTCGGGCCCCGGCCAACGTTTCTTTTGATAGATTCTGAAGCCATCTTTTTCTGGGGCGGCCCGACACGGCACAGTAATCTAAGGGTCTAAGAAAAATTTACGACGATGGGCGAGCACCACAATCTCTCAAGCCAGCTACTTCAAAGCCCCATGTTGGAGAACCTGCACCCCTCATAGTGTGATGGAGGCTCAGCACCTGTCACTGGCCCCTCACTGCGCTGCGCCAACGCCTACGACTCAGGAGTCATCTTCAAGAGGCATCGCCCCGTCATCGAGGTCGTCATCTTCTTCCTGCTCTTCGTGGTCGCCTGCGTTTCCTGCGTGCTCATCTTCGCCATCGCCCACGACATCCTTGAAGTGGGCCTTGATCAGCTCGGCCAAGGACTCGTTCCACAAGGCGTGGCCTTCAGTCGCCGCCAACGACAACGCCTTGCGATCTACGATGTTCGACATCCAAGAAACGTGTGTACCATTCAGGCACAGGCCCATATACTTCAAACCCAAACGGAGGCAAGTGCACGCCAGCCGCCCTGAGCCGGGCGACAGATCCACCACTTCGGTGATCCCGTAGTTGCTAATCCAAGCCTCGAAAAGGTCTTCGTTCTTGCATTCCTGCCAAAACAAAGGCACGCCCAGCTCCGCGCCTGCGTCTGCCCCTTCGTCCTCGCTGCCGGCCCAACCTGTGGGCGCGCGCTCTTCAGCCGCAGCATTCTTGTCCAGCGTCTTCAGGATGTCGCATTTGTCATCCCATTTCATTAGCGGCAGCGCCTTCGACGAGAGGAAAGGAACGTTGACATAGTTTGTGTCAGCTGTGGTGACA